GCAATAAATAAATACAAATACAAAAATGTATATGCACAAGGTTATTTACTGTAGCACTGTTTGCAATTGCAAAATGTTGAAAACAATCTAAGTGATCATATATGGGAGAGTGGTTGAATAAATTAATAAAGTGGTGGGGAAGAAAGGAACCAACCTAAGTAACTTTGGAAACTGGCACTTTATATTACATAAGGCTAAAGACAAAACGAATTGGACGCAAATGTACTTGAATGGTAAATTTGCTTTTCACACGGATATGGGTTAGCACTTCTGATACAAAGAGTATTCCAGGATTGAGCAAACAAGTAAATAAACTATGCATAATGAGAGCCAGCGTTTTCAAGGCCAAAAAAAAAGTTAAAAGAAGCAAAAAGAAATCAAGAATAAAAATTGTGGTGTTGAACTGGATTTGGAGGTATCAGTGTGAACTTATGGTTTTCAATATATATATTAAATATACAAATAGGTATGTGTGTGTGTATGCGTGTAAAAAAGTGCAAAGTCTTTCCTACTTAGAGAAAGGTAAATTAAAACAACACTAGGGGCTTCAGTGGTTGAGAGTCCACCTGCCGATGCAGGGGACACGGGTTCGTGCCCCGGTCCGGGAGGATCCCACATGCCGCAGAGCGGCTGGGCCCGAGAGCCATGGATGCTGAGCCTGCGCGTCCGGAGCCTGTGCTCCGCAGCGGGAGAGGCCACAACAGTGAGAGGCCCGCGTACCACAAAAGAAAAAAAAACAACACTAGGATACCATTTCTCACTTGTCAGACTATTTTTCTATGCATGCATAGTTTTGCATTACATTATATTATCAAGAGTATAATCTAGTCTTGAAAATAGCTTTTTTTCTCCCATTCTCCACTCTCAAAATAGTAGGGTTCCCTGATTAACATCAAAGACATTTCCCTGATGCTGTTCAGGATCACTGATGCCCCAGCATCTGCTAACCTTAAAATTCACACTTTCCTTGAGATTTAATTCTACCAGATACAGAAAGATTTCTTTCAGCACTTAGGCCTTTTAGTTCTGGTCTGCCACTCACTAGCTGAATGACACTGGGCAAGTCACTTAATACCTACAAACCTTGATCCACTCATCCGTAAAACATAACATCTGTCCTTGCATGGTCACAGAATTAAAATGAGATTCCAAAGGCAGTTTTTAAAAACTATATGTCCTTTTACAAATGTTAGGTTATTTTAATAATAATGCAGGCCAGGGACTTCCCTGGCAGTCCAGTGGTTAAGACTCCACACCTCCACTGCCAAGGGGTGTGGGTTAGATCCCTGGTCAGGGAACTAAGATCCCACATGCCGCACGGCACGGCCAAAAAAACAAATGCAGGCCATCTGAGACAAATCAATCAAGGCTGTTTAATTAACAATTTACTAGTTGTTATTCACTGTATTTTAAAATATCTGTGACTCAGCAAAGAAGAAATTATCACAACTAATAAAAGTCATGAAATAATAAATAGAGCTTCCACCAACCTGGCCATTTGCTTGTAAGCTTCTTCAGCTACTGCAAAGATATGTGGATCCATATCACCCATGTTCTGACCACTATATGCATTAATAATATCTTCTCCATAAATAGGCAGCTGTTCATAAGGATTTATAGCTACTAGGACTATACCTGGGGAGAAAGGTAAAAAAAAGCAAAAGAAGAAGTGAATAATATCCTCATGGGCATATCAAACTTGGTAAAGTGAGAATCATAGTTAATACTAATTCAATTTCAGTTAATATTGAACTAACAAATTGTTAAGGGTCAAAATATATCATAGCCTTTGCCTCTGAACCCATTATACCTAGTCCTAACTAAAACACCATTTACAAACTAGACTAGGTGATTTAAAATAATAAAAACTGGGGCAATGTTGAAAGGACTTTAAATATTTTTGTAATATTTAAACCAAAAATTCCACTTCTAGAAATTTATCCAAATGAAATAATCATAGATTCACGTAAAGGTTTTTTTTTTTTAAATAAAGATGTTTATCATAATGTTATTCATAACAGTGAAAAGTGGAAACAAAGTATATAATAAAGGGAGAGTGGTTTATGTACAGCACAGGGAACTATATTCAATATCCTATGATAAACCTTAATGCAAAAGGATGAAAAAATATATATATATGTACAACTGAGTCACTTTGCTGTATAGCAAAAACTAAACACAACATTGTGAATCAACTATACTTCAATAATTTTTTTTTTAAAAAGGGAGAGTGGTTTAATATGTACTATTATATCCATGTAACAGACTATTGAGCTACCACCACAAATCATGTTTATAAAAAATATTGTGTCATAGGAAAACATGACACAAAACTATATATAGACTGATTCCAATTTTATATCTATTTATACTCTCTCACATATACACACAGGGTATAAGACAACATAATACTGGTTATTTTTCAGTGGTGAATTACATGTAATTCTTTTTCATTTTTTATACTTTTTTTGGTATTTCCTTAAAAGTTACAGCAAGTATATATTAACTTAATAAAGTCGTTCATTCAACAAATATTTGACTACAACTAGCTTTCAAGTCATTTCTAAGTGCTATATTTACAACAGTAAACAAACAAAAAGACAAATCTAAATAGAGTATAACCTTTAAAAATTGTGGGGACTTCCCTGGTGGTGCAGTGGTTAAGAATCCACCTGCGAATGCAGGGGACACGGGTTCCATCCCTGGTCCGGAAAGACCTCACATGCCGTGGAGCAACTAAGCCTATGCGCCACAACTACTGAGCCTGTGCTCTAGAGCCTGTAAGCCACAACAACTGAGCTCACGGGCCACAACTACTGAAGCCCTCGTGCCTCGAGTCCGTGTTCTGCAAGAAGAGAAGCCACCACAATGAGAAGCCCGCACACCACAACAAAGAGTAGCCCCTGTTCTCCACAACTGGAGAAAGCCCATGTCAGCAACAAAGACCCAACACAGCCGAAAAAAGCAAAACAAGACAAAAAGTGTATCACTGTACTGTACACCTGTAAGTTATATAACATTGTACAGCAATTATATTTCAATAAAAATTTTTTAACAAAAGGAAAAAATTTTGCCCTCATGAACCTTATATTCTAGAGGGAAATTCAGACAATAAAATAAGTAAGAAAAATATATATCATAGGTTAGACAGTAGTAAGGAAAAGGGGGGAAAATTAAACAGAGAAGGAAGATAGACAACTAGGAGAAGAAAAGATAGGGTGGATAGGAAAGGCTTCACTGAGAAGGTAGCATATGTGCAAGAAAAAAATAAATTGAAGAAAAATGAAAATTGAGAAAAAGAAATATTCAGTTAATAGGTACGGAGGATAAAGAGCAAATATCAAGGATATAAAAGGTATAAATTCTTTTAAGAAGAAAAGATACCTGTTCCTTTCCAAAACAGGAGCGTAATGAAGAAATGCTGAGTGCTGAGTTGGGTACACCAAGCAAAGAGATTTAGAAGGAAATGAATGGAAATCCCAGACCTGGGTCTCAGCAGAGAATGATTAGTGAAAGAAGGATAAGAAGTCAGTAGAGAAAAAAGAGCTGGGGACATGGGAGAAAATAAGAATTGTCCCCATGCACAATATTTCCATGGCCCTGTCCATTAGAGAAAAGAATTCACAGTTCACTCAGACAGCAACGCACACTCACCACAATATGTATAAATAAGTTTGGAATCAATAAAGCGGACTCTGAGATTGTGGAGTACAGCAGGCTCGTGAAGATAGCTGAGGGCTGTGAGGTCATTTTCACCCACAAGTATGTCAGGGTTTCTTAAGTGAGGCAGTTCCTTCGTCTTTGGATCTAGACGATATTCCAAATCCTGAAAATGCACAAGATATAGCATCTGGATAAATAATGACAATAAACCCAAAACAGGCACATACATTTTGCTTATTTCCTATTCCTGATTTGCTTCTCAGCTATTAAATGCATTCTTTTCCTCGCACCTTCCAAAACCACAGAAACTGGTGGAAATGGCAAAAAAAAATAAGGAGAGTCTTTGTTTTCACTAGATATATTAACTCATATTAACAATTTTTGATAATACACTTTGAAAAGTCAAAGCCTAGAATTTTTTTTACCTTGTTACTAGACCAGAATTTTTAATCTTTAGTTAAATAAGCTTTTTTTTCCTCTTCACCTATTATAAGTGACAAGTGGTAAGAGCTTGGCTCTAGAGCTAGATGAACCCAGGTTCAAATCCTAAAACTGGTACTTACTCCTTTTGTGGTCTTGGGTATATTATTTAACCTAAATCTTTCATTTGTAAAATGGGCATAATGGAAATAGCTCATAGGGGTGTGGTAAAAATTAAGTGAGACAGTGCCTGGTATATGCTAAGTACTTGGGAACTCCTGAACGCTGAGAGATCCAAGAATCCCCTAAAATTAGGTGTTAACACTTTGTGTGTATGCACATATGTGTAAATATATACATATATGTGTATTTTTTTAAAAACACAGTCCATAGTTTTTATTCAACTTTTAATGAGGTGCTTGGGCCCCCAAATTAAGAAGTACTACTCACTTTAAAGCCAAGGGAATATGGCTTTATGGCAAAGCCAAGCATGGAGATTGTTACTCAACTATGTATTAAGGACAAACAACACACGACACATGAAAAGGTAAAAAAAAATGGCAATATAATTGCAGAGAGGGACAAGCTGATTTTGTAAAAAGACTTTTGTTAATACTAAAGAGATATATAGAGGTCAAATGTGCAAATCAGGTTGGAATGACTGCAAAATGGGGAGGAAATTTTTACAATCTGCCCCTTGACCTCTCTCTGCCTGTTTATTAGGGTATAATAATAAAACTTTTCCAAAGCAGACTGGTCCTTGCATTGGCTCCTGCCATACAAAAAAGCCACTTCTGGCTGTGTGATCTCAGGTAGACTGCTTAATGTCTTGGCTTCCTTATTTGGAAAATGGTCATAATACCACCTGTGAACGCACAGGATTGCTGTGAGAATTAACATAAGAAAATAAAGGGACTCCCTTGGTGGTCCCGTGATTAAGACTCTGCCCTTCTACTGCAGGGGGCATGGGTTCAATCCCTGGTTGGGGAACTAAGATCCCACATGCATGGCCAAAAAAAAAAAGAAGAAAATATAGCCTAAGGTACCTGACGTTGTGCCTCACAGAGTGGATGATCAATGAATGTTGAATAAATTAATTCCTTAGTTAGAAGTCAAGGCCCTCCTAATCTGGCCTAATTCTTCCCTGCCTTCTTTCTGAATAATCTCCTTGTCTGTTTTGCTCTCCTAAAATTCATCCTCCATACTGCCAACAGTGAGTCCTTTCTAAAACACAAACCTGGCACCCTTCTTCTGTTTAAAAACACTACAATCACTCCCCCTAGCATACCAGTTGAAGTCCAAGAGTTTCAGCATGAACACCAGGCCCTCTGTGATCTGGTTCCCACCTCCATCCTCTTGCCAGTCCTGTACCCACACTTCACATCCCAACAACATGGAACTTGTGCAGTTCCCCAAACACACATCACTGTACAAGCCCCCTTGCCTTTGTCCATGCTTTTCTAGATCCCTGAAATGCACTCCTCCTTGTCTACTCATTCTTTAGACAATGCATCTCTGACCCTTAACCTTCACCAGTCCCTCTGGCCACTACCCACTCTGTCCTATTTTTGTTTCTTCTTTATATTTATTATATCATGTGTCACACTATTCATAAGTATATGTACTTCTCTTACCTGACATTAATGTCAGAGAGCATATCTTTTGCCACCTCTTAACATGGTATATAGCAGGTACCTTAACACACAAGCCTTGAATTAGTACACACACCTTTCTAAATCTCTGCTCCAGTCAACTTGTGATATTCACTATCTCCCAAATATATTCCAATCCTCACAAAGTCTACCCCCTTCTCTTTGTTAATCCAAACTCTATCTAGTCAAAATTCTTCCTTCTCTTTGAAGCCTTCCTTGAAGCAGCCCACAGTGATACTTCCCTCTATTGGGATCCTGAAGTCCTCACTGTCTTTACAGTACAGCAGAGTGGTAATGAGCACAGACCAGAAAGGCAATCTCCTGGCTTTAAGTCCCAGCTGCATCCCTTAATGCGTGTATAACCCGGAGCAAGTCCCAAACTCTCTGAGCCTCAGGTTCTTCATCCATAAAGTGGTAAAGATAACAGCCCAACCTCACAGGATTGTTATGAGGATTAAGTGAGTTACAGCATATAAAGCACTTAGAACTATGCCTGTACATAGTAAGTGCTCAATATATATTAACAGTCAGGACAGCATTATTCACTTGGCAGTTAATCATAAGCTTATCTTTTGACATCTTAATATTGCTGTGTTGAACTACTTTTTTTTTTTTTTTTTTTTTTTTTTTTTTCCTTTTGTTTTTGGGGCCTTTTTCTTTTTTTTTTTTTTTTTTTCCCTTGCGTTATGCGGGCCTTTCACTGTTGTGGCCTCTCCCATTTGCGGAGCACAGGCTCCGGACGCGCAGGCTCAGTGGCCATGGCTCACGGGCCCAGCCGCTCCGCGGCATGTGGGATCTTCCCGAAACGGGGCACGAACCCGCGTCTCCTGCATCGGCAGGCGGACTCTCAAGCACTGCGCCACCAGGGAAGCCCTGAACTACTTTTTATATCCTGTATTTTCCTGGCTAGATTATAACTTGTTTAGAGGAAATTAACGTCACAAGGGTTTTTAAGAAAAAAGTGTGACATGACCTGTTAAATGCAGTGGAGAGATTAAAAAGGGTAGAACTAAGACTCCACTCACGCAGTGAATGCAGATGGGAAAGAGATACAACTGGTTTTAAGTTTTTCTGGCCACTAGCAAAGTATTTTATATAACAGCTTCTAAGTAAATATTTTTCAAATATCTGGTTCCAGCAAATATCATATCTCAAACTGGCTCCTTAAGTGTTGCTTTCTTAGTTAATGTGAATAATTTAAATAGTATCCTAAACAAAATACAGATAAACAGGAATATCTTTGGGAGGATTAGATGTGAATCTAAACCAGGTCATAATAAATTCATAAATCAAAATAATGGATTTTTAAAAGTACCTGCTATTCTCACTAAGCCACTGGGCTAGAAAATTGAGTTTGCCATTTTGCTATTTTTATCAATTAAGTAAGTGAAAACATTATATTAATTCAAAATTTAACTTCCAAGTGAAGTTAAGTATGTCACAGCAAGTTTACACTTTTGAATTTCCTTCACTTTATGCCAATAACAACAAATAAAAGCAAAATTCTTACCTTTCCATCCTCAAGGTGAAGCAGGAGGACTTTATCTCCTGGCTTATAATCTTTGAGCAATTCTGCTGACTTCCAAACTTCCTCAGGATCAGGTATCCAAACCCTGGCAAACTAGAAGACAGAAAGAAAAAAAAATTTTAAACCAGCAAATCAAGCATTCTTGACCTGCGCTAAACATGAGGAGATTTCAACTAAATCCGGAAAGAAGCACCTTTGTGTTTTGTCAACAGCAAGCTCCAGCTCAGATTTCCACAAGTATTTTGGAAACAGTAATGAGTAGGTACTTTGCCAAAGGTTAGATTTCCAAGAGCTAGGTGTTAACAACACTTACAGATAGTAGACAGAGGCTAAGGCCCTTACACTCACCAGAGACAAGATATTTAAATAGCAAACATCACTCTGACAACCAACTTCCCCTTTATCCTATCTCTATCTCTGGGGAAGGTATCCAAAGAGAAACAGGTCAGAAGTCAGTCTATTATTACCACTGTCTTTTTATGATTCTTCTCCGTCTTAACCAATGAGATCGGTAGCTCTGCAGAAACAACTATACCAGAACTGGGTCAGTTTGGAAGGTATATATAACTTAGATGTTGAGACGGAGAGCAAGCTCAACTTGACAATGCCCCTTCCTATTGCCTCTATCACCTCCAACCCTACTTTCCACTCTCCCCTTAGACCCCCAGTGAAAATACACATGGCAGCCCTGAGGAAGAGGACTAAGCTTGTTCAGCCACATCCAGTGTGAAGACTGGGAAGGAAGACAAGAAGGCAAGGTCCCAAGATTCCATGAGAAACCTAGAAATGGGATGTGGCAGCAAGAGTCAGGGAGGAATTAGAAATAGGGCTGGACACACCTACCCACTGAGTCTGCTCAGGTACCTGGTGAAACAGAAGCAGTTAGCGACAGATAACCCAAGCCAAAGTGAACCCGACAGAGCTCCCAGCAAGACAAGGGAGGGTCCAGTGTCACATAACAGCTCTGTCACCAGCTGTCTCCACTAGCTAATAGACGGTGTGACTTTCCTGCAATGCTCCCCATTCCCTTTTTTACTCATGCTGCTCTAGTTTTACCCCTTGTTACCTTGTGAGTCCCTCAAATATCTCACTTATGATTCCTCAGACCCTATTTTAGTTATTTATGGATCTGTCCACCTCCTACACTAGGCTGCATGCTCCTTAAGCCATCTCTGAACCCCCTAGAGGTTGGCTCAGCTCCTTGCCCACAATTAGTGGGGCATTTGTCTTGATTTTATGTAAGACAGAGGTAGGACAAGGGAAGGAAACAAAGTCAGGAGAATGGGGATGAGAGGTAGCAAAGGCAAACATCACAGACCCACCTCAGGATTTGTCCTGAAGCCACAAAGCACAGCTGAGATGGGGTAGGAGTCAGAGACTCAGGGAAGAGATCCATGGAGTAGTAGGCAAAGAAAGGGTAAACACTGATGTAGGAACTGTAGGAGAAGGGTAGACGAGGATTTGGGATCTGAGATACTGTGACTAAAGCCACAAAAACTGTAGGAGGTGAAGAAGAGAGAAAAAGCCTTAAACTAGATACACTAAAATATAAACACACATCAAAGATTTATGACAATTCAAAGGTACCCCTAATTAGAAAGGAGAGGAAGGGCAAAAATGGAGATGGGCTAAATCTTATGGAAACAGTCAAAATCTGAGAAAAGAATGCTAGCACAGATTTACGTTGCATAGTAGCTTTCAAGGAAAATAAAAACCATCTGCTCTTCTACAATACAATTTATGATGAGGTAATTCTGACTGAGTCTAATGGGAAAGCATTGGAAAGGGGGGTTCAGGGGACATGCCTGCACTGGTATGTGCAGAGAGGGGCACCAAACAACACTGGTTCAGCCTAACATGGCTTCTCAGGGGTTACACCCATCCTGTGTGCGTAAGGAGGTAGCAGGCATTTTTCTTACTGTATCCTACCACAAGGACAACACTCAGGAGGTCCTTGATTAATGCAGATGACTCACTGGAAGTTTTGCTAACTTGCATTTTGTCAGTCAAGGAACCCTAAAGTGTGGGCACCAAGAGTAATTGTTTCTGATGCCTCAGACACTTTGGGAACAAGTCTGACAGCACTAACAGTAAATGACCAGTCCCTGAATCCCCAAAAATCTGACCCATGTGATTCTCTCTCCTTCCCCAAACTCCCACACACATAATTTGCTTTTCATACAGCACATGTGCACATCTTTCCTAGCTCCCCTATTAAATCATAAGCAGCTTGGCAACATGGAATCTGCTTGGTTCATTTTTGATACCCCATTGTGAATGTTCACAAAAAATGAATGCTTTATGTGACAGTTCAAACAAGCCTATAATAAAAACTAAGTGTCCCTCTAGGCTATGAACTGAAGCAGAATAAAAATCCCAAATCATCAACACCCCTTCCTGTGAACCCTGACATTAACACTGACACTCCATATGGTTACTAAGTAATTCACATAACCCTTAAGGCATGTTTTTGAGGTAGAAAATTCTATGGAATTTTCTATTCCTACTATGCTAAAGCACATAATGGGCTTCCAGAAATTACATACACACACACACACACAAATATCTGTTGAATGAAAGAGTGATATAATGAACTCCCATATACCCACCACTTAGGTTCAGAAATAGAACATTACTCCTCAGTGGGATATATTCTTAAACATTTCATTTTCTCTCCATTTTCAATCACTACTGCCATTGTCTGGTCATGCCAAACTATGTGTTTGCAGTATCCTGAATAAGCCCTGCTGCCTTACATTTGCTTTGGCTATTTCCTCCATCTGAAACACAACCCCTCCCCCTTTCAGATAGCAGACTCCTATTTATTCTTCACATCTGTGTTAAAGTACCTCCTTCTCAAAGAAGACTTTCCTGACTTATCATCATCATTTGACACTCTGTTCTCAATGTCCTCATTACCTCATACAATCTTCCTCTAGAATCCTTATCCCACAAAATGATGACTTTGCTTGCCTGTCTCACTCGGTAGACTGTAGGTTCCTTGAGAGGAGGGATGCATCTTATTCATCTCTGACATTTCAGCACTTAACACAGGGCCTGCCTAATAATTTCTGAATAAACTTTTGTTATACGAATGTTCCTGGCCTTAGACATTATACTCTAAGAGGGTAGATTAAAAGAAGTATTGGCCAGAGGCTCCCAAAATCTTCTAAAAGGGTCTATAATTTCCAGAAGTAGAGAAACATGAAAGTGACATTGGAGAGTTGAGTTATACACGAAATCTTGGTGTGACAGAAGGAAAAAGAGCCAGACATGAAAGGAGTACAGAAGTAATGAAACACCCTTTCCTCCCCCCACCGCAAACCTCCATCCCTTCATAATTCATGTATTTAGAGTGGAAGCTATACCTCACTTCCAGAACAGAGAGCCCCACTTCCAATCCCACCACAAATTCTTTACTTAGAAGGCAAAGAGGTGTTGTGACCACCACTTCTACCAGCCATCTCTTGGAGCAGCAAAGTGGGGAATAGATGGGAAGAAAGGTAGGCCAAGGGGTTAGAGCAGGGAAAGAGGGTCACACTAAAATGCGGGAAGGAGAAAAGAATGGCTGGAGTGAACACAAGGTGCATTCTGAGTAGGGCTGGAAGTAAACAGCGAAAGTGTCCTGTGCCCCTACTGCGGCTTTTTAACAGATACAAGCATACCTCATTTTATTGTGCTCTGCTTTATTTTACTTTGCAGATATGGCTTTTTTACAAATTGAAGGTTTGTGGCAACACTGTTTCAGGCAAGTCTACTGGTGCCATTTTCCAACAGGATTTGCTGACGTCATCTCTGTGTCACATTTTGATAATTCTCACAATACTTGAAACTTTTTCATTATGGTTATATTTGTTATGGTGATCTGTGATCTTTGATGTTACTATTGTAATTGTTTAGTGGTGCCGTGAACCGCACCCACATAAGATGACAAACCTAAATGATAACGTTGTGTGTGTTCTGACTGCTCCAACTACTGGCTCTTTCCCAGATCGCCTCCCTATTCTCTGAGACACAACAATATTGGTATTAGGCAAATTAATAACCTTATAATGGCCTCTAAGTATTCAAGTGAAAGGAAGAGTTGCAGGCCTCTCACTTTAAGTCAAAAGCTAGAAATGATTAAGCTTAGTGAGGATGGTGCATCAAAAGCTGAGACAGGCTGAAAGCACTTACACCAAATAGTTGGCCAAGTTGTGAATGCAAAGAAAAAGTTCTTGAAGGAAATTAAAAGTGCTACTCCAATGAACACGCAAATGATAAGAAAGAGGAACAGCCTTATTGCTGATATGGAGAAAGTTTTAGTGTCTGGAAGGCAGATCAAACCAGACACATTCCCTTAAGCCAAAGCCAAATCCAGAGCAAGGCTCTAACTCTCTTCAATTACACGAAGCCTGAGAGAGGTGAGGAAGCTGAAGAAAAATGTGAAGCTAGCAGAGGTTGGTTCGTGAGGTTGAAGGAACGAAGCCGTCTCCACAACACGAGTGCAAGGTGAAGCAGCAAGGGCTGATGTGGAAGCTGCAGCAAGTTATCCTGAAGATCTAGCTAAGATCAATAATGAAGGTGGCTACACTAAACAACAGATTTTCAGCGTAGACAAAAAAGCTTTACACTGGAAGAAGATGCCATCTAGGACTTTCACAGCTAAAGAAAAGTCAACGCTTGGCTTCAAAGCTTCAAAGGACAGGCTGACTCTCTTGTTAGAGGCCAGTGGAGATGGTGATTTGAAACTGAAGCCAGTGCTCATTTACCGTTCCCCAAAACCTAGGGTCCTTAATAATTATGCTAAAACTACTTTGCCTATGCTCTATAAATGGAACAAAGCTTGGATGACAGCACACCTGTTGACAACATGGTTTACTGAATATTTTAAGCCCACTGTTGAGACCAATTCCTCAGGAAAAAAAAAGATTCCTTTCAAAATATTACTGCTCATTGACGAGGCATCTGGCCATCCAAGACCTCTGATGGGGAGGTAAAACAAGATTAATATTGTTTTCATAACTATTAACACAACGTTCATTCTGCAGCTCACAGATCAGGAGTCATTTTGACTTTCAAGTCTCATTCTTTAAGAAATACTTTTT